CTATTATACTTGGCAACTTTCAAGAAAGCAAATTAGGCATTCCCCCCGAAATTAAAGTTCTTATGAACATTTTCATAAACACCAAATGAAGAAAATAAGAATACCTCAGGGATAATGAGTTGATTTTACCTTCTCAAGTTTAATTCCACAGATAACCCTTGATACAGTGCAGTTTCTCTGGGATATTTTTATTTTCTCCTGATTTAGTGGGGACATGTTTATTACCTCCCTGTTCCACGGAGGATTTAAGGTGGCCTAGCAGGTAAGATTCAGAAAATACCCAAAAGCACAATTACAGGTTAAACAAAAAGCAGAGAAGATAATCTGGGGGGCAAGCGCACAAAAAAATTTAAGGAAAGGTCGGGAAATAATAAACTAAAGTACTGTTATTCTCTCAGTGATTTCCTGGATGCATCACAAACTATGTTATTGGTAAGAAAATTACAAAAGTACCGGCAATAGAGATGGAGAACAGATTTCTTCAAGTTTTTGCTAATTCTGAAGCCCATGATTATCAAAATGTGTGTGCTTCAGTCAAATTTTCACTGATGCTAGACTGAGATTCTGGTTACTGTTGATGTAGGTGAACAAAATCTGGTTCCCTGACTCAGCTGAGAACTTGGTGCATGCATGGATACCCGCTGACGGACGGGTGGCTGCCAGTTTGGGTGTCACACGGCTGTTTCTGGGGTGGATGGCAGAGCGGCAGCCCAGCGGCATCAGCCCGGCCAGCTCCCCTTGAGCAGATCCAGCAGGATGGGTGGGAAGTGTGCTGAAGCGCAGGAGGCCCGCTGAGGCCACAGTCCCCTCTGCTGTCCGGGGCCGCAGAGTCCTGACCTCACCCCACTCCCGGGCTTGGGCAGAGAGGCATTCTGGGAGGAGTCAAAGGTAGCATTAAATAACTAGAGGGAAATAGGCACAGGTCTGTTCACCTCCATCCTGCAGGCCTAGCTTTCACCAAGCAGTAGAAAGATCCTGTGCCCAAAGGATGGATTAGGTAGAGGGAGCGAGGATGCAGGAAGGGCTTGGCAAAGTGGGGAGAAAAGGAAGGCAGCAGAACACTTGCTAGCAAGCGCGGCATTCGAGCTCCGACGGAGGACCAGAGCAGAGCAGAGATGGCCACCTGATGACTAAAACTGACTACTGCCTCCTTTCTTTCGGTTTCTTTTTCTAAGATGAGTGTTCCCAGGCTCACTGCAGTTCTGGGCAGGGTAGGAGGAATGAAGTTCAAGTTTACAGGCCTGCATGCAACAGTGGGTCCTGCAGACCTTGCACAAGGGATGGCAATGACAGCCAGACCAGACTGGAGTTTAGCAGTGGGGCCAAGGAGCGAGGAGTGACCGCTGCCCCTTCACAACACAGGAAGGGGCAGCCTATCCACTGGGCACTAAGTCTCAGGCTCGAAGTATTCTGAAAAGCCCCCTTTTGGGGGAGGGGGCAATACTGGGGATTAAACCCAGGGCCTTCACACTAGCTACATCCTCAGCTTTTTTTCATTTTTTTTTTTTGACCCAGGGTCTCACAAGTTGCTAAACTGCTCGAACTGCGTATGAACTTGCAGCCCTCCTGCCTCAGCTTCCCAAGTACTGGTATGATACAGGCGTGTGCCATCATGCCCAGCACAAATTTAACTTCATGAGAAAAATATGGAACAGCAGTGTTTGGGAGGCTGAGACAGGAGGACTGCCTTGAGATCAAGACTAGCTTAGGCAGCATAGTGGGTTTGAGGGCAGCCTGAGCTACAAAGCGAGACTCTGTCTCAGAAAAAAAAAAGGACTAGAGAAGAGTGGTTCAAGGTTAAACAATGGAAGGAGGAAGAGTCTGAGTCTGATATTATTAGTCTCATATCACCGATTTTTAAAATGTTACTTTGGAATTTGACTTTTAAAGAAAACTAAGTCTAATGTTGGAAAAGTATGGCAATAATTTTCATTAGTTAAGCCAGAACAAGAAACAAAATAAAGGTAAATCTTTTATAATTTTGTGCAGTAATCAAAGTACTAGACACTGGGCTAGGACAGGGTGGCACACACTGTAATGCCAGCAGTCTGGGAGGCTGGGCAAGAGGACTGAGTCTGAGCCCCGCCTGGGCAATGTAATAAATCAGCACGATCCCACCTCAGACTGAAAAGCGCTGGGGCTGTAGCTCAGTACGAAGGCCCTGGGATACAAAACCAAATCAAGTAACAGGATAAAAGGTCTTGGAAATTTTCAAGCCCTTTCTTCACATCTGCACACATTATCAGTGGTGGGCTTTTCCCTGGGAGCTGCCTCCTGAATGTCCTGTGCTGCGGCCCTTGAAGTTCTAACGCCCTCTGTGCTGCTCCAGGGCGGCTCCAAGGACCCGCAGAGCCCCAGCCGGCAGTGCTGGAACAGTGGGCACCTACAGCTGCAAAACTGTTAAAGAAACTGACAAGGGAGGAAGGAAGCAGGGGTTAGAACAGAAAGAAAAACAGTACATTTCAAAGTTCTAAAACAATATTGTCCACACAAGTTTAAGTATTGCATTGTTTCTCTTGTGTGAGAAACCCAAAGGGTAAATCAGGAGCAAAATCTAGGATAGACATTGGGAAGCAGAAAGAGCTTGTTCAAATGGGAAGGCAGTAAGGGAGAGGCCGAAGGAAAGGGAAGGAAGGAAAAAGGAAAAAAAGAATAATGTAGAAGGAAAAAATGGAAACAAAGATTTTGTAAATGGGGAGAGGAAGGGATGAAGGGAGGGGAGGGAATGGGAAAAAAGAAAAATCAACATATATTATGCACAGGTACAAATTCTCTATGATGAATCTGATCAGTATGTATGATAAACATGTACTAATAGGGCTGGGGATTTAGTTCAGCGGTTTCGCCGCCTACTGCACAAGCACAAGGACCCGAGTTCGATCCTTGAAACATTTTTTTTTGTACTAATAAAAAAATATAAAGTTGTCAGGCACGGTGGCACACGTCTCTAATCCCAGCACTTGGGAGGCTGAGGCAGGAGAAATGCCATGAGTTCGAGGCCAGCCTGAACGTTGTCTCAAAAAAAGGAAGAACTTGTCTCAAAAAAAAGGTTAAAAACAAAAATAAAATGATATAGCCGGGGAGGTGGGTGGGATATGTAATCAATGTGTGAACTATACCTTCTACTATACAGTAGGATTAAGATATCTGTACTTTATGTATAAGTTTCTGCAATTTAAAAATTCTTTTGAATATTAAAGTACTCCATGGTCAGAAAAACATACTAAGTAAATATTCTAAAAATTGGGCTCCCAAACCCTTTAACTCTGGCGATTACCATCTCTGAGTTCCTCCTAGTACGGCTTAGGTTAGTAAACACGGTTAACCACTGGCATGCAGATGGCCCCAGTGTGAAAACAGAACTTTGAACAATTTCTACCAGCTAAACTCATTAATCTTACAGGGAAATACAATATCCATCAAGAAAGCACATGAATACCAGTGTCTAGTTTGTTTTCCCTAAAGCATAATGGGGAATTAAAAGGAAGAGCACAAACAATTCACTACCCTTCAGAGTATCACAGACCTGTGTGTGGAAGGCAATGCTGAGTCCTAACATTCAGACACCTGGATTCCAGTGGAGGAGATGAGGGTCCAGGACGGTGACATGATCTGACCAAGGTCACACAGCAAAGCTGGTGACTGAATTAGGTAACAGCTCAGATCTAGATCTGTTACCCTCCCAGCCCTCAAAGCAATTATCTTCTAAGTCATACTTCGTTGTTTATCCTAGCTGCACACAAAGAAGTGGAAAAACTACTTTTCCTTAAAAATGTGTTAGTTTTTACATTGTGCTATCTAAAAATATAAAAAATTCTAAATGAGTTACCCAACAGAATAAACCCTGAAATTTCAGACATAGAAAAATACAAGGAAGTTTTTTAGAACTCAGTTACCCAAAAGAATCCAGGCCCAGAGAAGGCAAACTGTTATCTCCCAAAACCACAAGGCTGAGATCCAGGTCACCGAAAAATGGAAAGCTATTCCTTTCAATAGTGCCTTATTCTTCTTGGGTATTGATTACAACCAAATAAAGCACAAATGTTCAATCACATGTGGTTTAGATATAGTGAAACTGTCAATAATAGAAATACGGGGAGAATGGGTAAATATCAGTTCTCTGGTTCATAAAAAGCTAACAGCATGACTGCTTGCTTACATTTTGAAGCAAGCACATTCAGGGTCTCAGGCCAAGCAATGTAACTAGATTCTACTGCTTGCCAATTCTGTAGATCAGCAGCCCGTATTGTCAGGCCTAAACCTGAGAATGGTTTTTACATTTTTAAAACACTGCAAAAAAATATGAAGACTATTCTGACAGAAACTACTCCTAGCTGAAGTTGAAATTATCTCCTAACTCACCCTTATGACATAAACATATTTTGCTTGACCTCCAGTGTATATTCAGAAAATACATGAAAACTGGGCTGGATATGTAAACACAGAAGGCTGTGTTAACATCTAAAAAGTAATTGGCTGGTTTATTCAACTTTATTGTAATTTGACTTTCTCCTGTTATTACATGGGGGGGACTGGTCTGTGGGTAACAATTACCAGGTCCAGTTAAATGAGATTTTATCACTAATGCAAGTGGGCATATAGTTGGATCTAATTATAATGTCTATGAAATCCATAAGAATATTTCAGATAGCTTATAATAAAATGACAGCAAATATCTATGATCAAAAATTGGTACCTTCTTTCCTTTAGGTCTCTTCTCTATCAAAAGTTTTCTCATGTCTCTCCAGGCCCCCTATAGCATGCTGTTGGATTTATTAATCGGTAGTTTTCAATCATGTTAATTACCTCAGTGACCACTCATCCGTATCACATTTGCAACCCCAAATAACAAATACACAAATCTTACCAGAACATATGGAAGTACTTCTAATGAGATATGAGACAATGAAATAGAAAATAATAAACCACACCTCTGGAAATAAGTAAAAATTAAATATTCCACTTATCAATCTGAATAAAACAATAAAGCAGACCACCTGTGTAAGTTTTCATAGTTTACTGCATTATTCAGCAAAAGACAGGAAGACTGCGCTGGGCCTGGTTTTCATAACGCTGCTGAGCACGACATGAGGACAAGCCCAGCTGAGCATGGGGGTGTGCCCTGGTAATCTCAGCATTCTGAGAGGCAGAGGGAAGATCACAAGTTCCAGCCCAGCCTGGGCAACTTAGTTTCGTTCCGCTACAGGTAAACTACCATCATTTCAATGTCCAAACTTGAAAGCAGGATCTTATCGTGTCAAGATTAAAATGTCTTACTTTAAAATAAAATAATTAGACTAACAATTCCTTTGTACAGTTCTCTTCAGCCACTCTGTCCTCTTGCTTGCTTTTGTAACTGGAAAGGAACAAATTTTCTATTCGAGTCAAAAATTCCTCAGCAATGAAGCGACTGGTTACTTTGGTCAGAGTTTTCCTCAGACACTCCAAAAGCTAGGAGGAAAAACAAAGTTTTATGTTTAAATACAAAGAAAAATTTAAGAGGGTTCGTATAACTATCACTATTTTATCCCTTCCCAAACTTCACATTTCTTAATGACCAAATGAGAAAATCCTCTGTAAGTGTGTTTGAAGATGGACCTGTGAGCAATAAACACAGGGTGGACTACGGCAAACCACTGTTGAGAGAAATACTTAGCTTAGTTCCTTTATAATTTAAGTTTTACATAAGGAGACAAACCTGGGTGGTACATGTAATGTTCTCTATTCTGGACAGATCTGTGACTCTGCTCCTTTCCTAGTAGTTGTAGAGTAGATTAATTTTGGGGAGTAAATAAATATCTTCAGGATGGGGATGTAGTATAGTATCTGATTCATGTACAAAGCCTGGGTTTGAGGGCCTCGAGTCGAAAAAAAAAAGCAAAAAGCTATGTACTTAAAAATTTAAGACTCTACCATTTCAAAATTAGGATGCTAGCTATGATCTTTTTTTTACAAATACACATCAGTCCTTGAACAGGACACAACAAAAAAGGGTAAAAAAATAAAGAAAAGGTACATAATACATTTATATTTTCCAAATTGCTTCCAAAAAAACTCAAAGGACAAATGTTGCCAGTCTACTAATTTTAACTCATTACAGAAGCGCAATAAAAGAATTCCAAGCTCTTCCTAGAAGAATTAAATAAAATGACTACTTAAATTTAATTGTTGCATTTACATTATCATTCTTAAAAGTGATCAATTGTTAAGGCCAAAATGGAAACATGTTGCTTTTGAATTTAATAAAATGAGAAAAATATTCTCCACTGTGCACAATAATCATCTGCTAAGAAATTTACCAGCCAATACTGACAAATTTATTCTAATATAGTATTTTTCTATGTGAAGCTTTGGCAAGAAAACATATTCCTAATTATCTCCCAGAAATTAATTTTAGAAATGAAAAAGCAATAAAAGAACTCCACAGAAAATGTGTCCACAAAGCATTAGGCATCACAGGAGAACACACAGCGACGAACAGCTCTGGAATCTGTGAACAATGGTACCAATTAAAATGAAGGCAGCTTACCTTCTGTAAACAAGTCAGGTCGGAATCCTGGCGAAACATTTGATCCATGGGGACACTGCTGCAGGAAGAAAACAGACTCGTGGAACAAATACTGTAAAGTAATCAGCTGTGTAATAAACTATCACTGACACCATACATCACAATTTTATATTTAACTTGGGTTTTCTCTGAAACACAATTTAATGAGAAACATTGCAGATGTGCAACCATCTCAAACCCCAGTACATACCTACGGGAGAGCCTATATTTTTCTATCATCCATCTTGTCTTTTCAAACACTAATCCCCACTGAGGTTCTTCTAACATCTGCTGCACTTCAAATTTGTAAGGTAAACCTAGAAAAGCATAAAGAAGCACATTTTCATTAACTATTTCTTAAATCTCAAATCTCCTTTTAATTACCTAAAATTCCCCTCAGTGTTTTTAAAACCACAGCTTGGCAGACCAGTTGAGCAGCACTTTAAATGTAGTGAGTATTCATTAAATATTTACTGCCTGCCTATACTTGCTTCACCAAGCATACTAATGCCAACCTATTAATAATCATGAAGAAAGGTAAAAATGCCACTTTGTGACAATTCTATGCACAGCACTGGGGGAAGTAGGATGAGCAAATGTAATTTATCACCCAAACCAAGAGACTTTTTGAATGAAAGGAGGCACTATTAATAACTATTCCAGAGCCACAGGTGTAAGTTAGGACTGTCACCCTAGTGACATTTTAAAAAATACAGGTTATTAAGCTTACAAAACAGTGCTATCGGGAAGAGAGCAGTCATGACCCCCAAGAGCCTCAGGTGCTCGCTCACAGGCAGCGCTTCTGGAAGAGGACCAGCGATGGTGAAGGGTGCTACTGCTAACCACGCTGACAGGAGGCAGGGCCGCCGTGGAAGAGGCAGGTCACTGGGGGTGTGACCTGGAAGGGCGTCTCTCCCTCTCTGGTTCCTCCCTGCTTTTCCTCGGCTGTGGCCCTCTGCCTTACCCTGCCTTGGAGCCAGTGGGCTGTGGACTGAAAACAGGAACCAAAATAAACCTCTCTCTTTTAACGTGCAGGTGTTGGGCATTCTGTCCCAGTGACAAATAAAGTGACTAAGACAGAGGCATTATTTCAATTTTACAAGTGAAAAAACTACAGCTGAGAGAGGTTAGTTACATAGCTAGTTCAGGCTAGCAAAGTGAAGAGCCTGGACTTTAAAAACACTAGCAGGTCTGCCTTACTTCTGAGTCCACACTCCTTCCCCTCTCTGCAGCTCTAAGCCTAGACAGCAACAGGACAAATTCTAGGGAGGCAGCAACTCACGTGAGTCAAAGTGCTCAAGCTGAACACTGGAGAAAAGGAAACCAAAGGGTGGACATCATGTGTGTTGCCACAAAGCGAGGCTATCCCAAGGTAAGCTATCTTTGCAATCCCTCACACACCCTCTAACACTCCCGTGTAAATGTCTCTGCGGTGTATCAAAGGCTCAACCGAGTCACTACCAAAGGCCAGTATCATCACAGAGCAACAGGCTAGTGCTTGTCATGTGCCAGGCATTAGGTGCTCCATATAGCTGAAGTCACTGAAATAAAGTAGCTATCATTACTGTCCCCATGTTTTTGAAGGACAAGGAGCCACAGAAAAGTTACAATTGTTCATGGTCATATACACAAAGAAGGACTTGAAGCCCAAGGTAGTTCAACTTGAGATTTTTAAGTACTGGAGACTGAACTCAGGACCTTCACACTGAGCTTTATCTTCAGCCCTTTTCTATTTTTTACTTTGAGACAGATTCATGTAAAGTTCCCCAGCTCAGTTGCTGTCCTCCTGCCTCAGCCTTCTAGACTGCTGGGATTACACAGAATGTATGTTTTCAACTTTTGCATTACACTGTCTCTCAATTGGTTTTTTGAAAAATTAAGGCGTTTCAAGTAATTAAAACGCCAGAAAATCAGAAGGCATGGAAATAACGAGGGCAAAAACAATGAACATACTTCTTCACAATAAAACATAATTTATCAATATGCTCTGAAATATGCAATACCGTATGCTTTATTTTTTTAGGTGTTTGGGAGGAGGCAAGGGGACAGCAGCCTAATGACGACTTATCTTTTCTCTCACTCTATAATTTCTCAATGCTCTTCCACTCCACTTTATTTCTTGCAACCAGAAATTTAAGAATGACACATTATAATGCATAAGCTATTAAGCAAACTTCGTTGGGTGATAACAGTAACTTACTTGACATGCTTTGAAAATGTACTTGCTAACACTTCATATACATTACCAATAATCCCTATAACTACCTACCTTATAAGCAAAGTAGTATTTTTTTTTCATTTTACAGAAGTAGCAAAAGAGGTTAAATAACCTGTCCAAGGTAAAATAACTAGTCAGTGTTATAGCTAGGATCCTAATACGGCTGAGTGATCTCCACTCGTAATGTGAGTTGAAATGAGAATAATGTGAAATAATTAATGTGTTTTTAGTCAGGGCTAAAGAGCGCACACACACACACATGCACGCACACACACACACACACACACACTATGTGCAGCTCAATTTGGTATTAAAGTTTTTTTCTAAATTTAAAAATGGCAGTAAAGCAAAAGTTTCCTTTTGTGCAGAATATTTTTATCCACTAAAATACTGAAAAACTTAACCAGCAAATATTATTTTCTGACTGACTGACACAAGTATAGGAAACAGCCACCAGAAACATTTTAAAGGTAGCCCCTGAGGTACAGATACTGTAAAGTCCAAGGTATTCTACGCCATTTGGAGAATCCCGACTCTTGCACTAGTTTCCCAGGAGATGCAAAGCAAAGGCCCAAAGAAAAAAGATCTAATACTGAATACAGTGCAGATGACGGGCAGGTTACTGAGGAGCCACCCTGCCCAATGCAGCCATCTGAGCGATACACTGCTGAGTGCCTGTGTGCTGTCCAAAGTGGGCCTGTTTTATGCAGCAGTTCCTTCCCCTGCCTGGGTTGGTTTCTTCACGCACACACAAGCCTGTATTCCGCTAAACGCTGGAAGAGCACATTCTACAAATCTCCAGTCACTCTCAAATTATCTAACTTCCTCTTTGTTTTCTGGAACTTGGCTCCTGGATCCGTCTGAGCTGGCCAGGCTCTGGGTGGGTGTCTCTTCCTTTTGCCATACCTGGAAACTCTTCCAAGACAATAATCCAGGGTTAATTTGAACCTGAATGCATTGGTGTCCCATCTCCTAGCAATCATCTTCCTTTACTGACTCAAGCTGTACCCTAAATAGCATTATTCTACATATTTTTGCCTAGTGTTTTGGTTGTTTCAGACGGGTTCTTGTTACTTCATTTTGGCCAGAAGTGGAATTACATGCCCTGAATATTAAATTTCACTTAATTCTAATGAATTTAAACACTCACATGTAACTATTATGGATGGTATTCTCATCATAATAAAAGCCCATGACTCAAATCTAGCAGAATGTAAGAAATGATTTACACTGAGAAGTTAATTGCAATTCTTCCTTTTGTACAGTTTATAAAATTATACTGAACCAGAGTGGTGGGTATCATGTACCATGTTCAAATGAGCATGCTAGACTAAAGCTAATGCCTACATTCTTCATTCAGTAAAAACCACAGTGGTGATCTCCTCCATCAAAAAAGGCAATTAATTAGGTGCTACTGGGGACAAAGACAAGACACAGTTCCTGCTCTCTGGGTACTCAGTTTAACAAGACCTCAATGAACAGATAAATTAAAGACAAAGACAAAAGTGACCACAAAGGCAGGAAAAGTGTTGCAGATGTACAAGGAATAGAGCAACAAAAGGTAAATGACATGGAGGGAGTGCTGGGTAGTCCTTACCCAATTCAGGACATCTAAATGAGATGATTAAGAATGACAGATTAATTATCAAATATTCATTTTGTACCCACTGTATGCCAAGCTTTGTGCTAGAAACAGGATAGAAAAATGAGTAAAATACAGTACATACTCACAAAGATCTCATGACTGTAAAGAGGAGGACGCCAATGTGGCAACTGCAGTGCTAGTGTCAGAGAAAACCCTGACTCAAACAATGACGGACGATAGAGAAGAGAGAATAAACATCCTAGAGGTGCCAACTGTCCCTGTGACCATTTCCTTTCTGTCCATATTCCCTTCCTTTGCCTACTCTGCTATACTAATTCTCTAGCCCATAAACTCTAAACTGCAGAGGAACCAAGCTGTATCATGGGCTACACCAACCAAATTCTTTCTTAAGACAGGAAGAAAATTCACCAGATATAAAGAGTTCATCACTGACAAGCCTAACACCACGGGAGATGACAAAGAGCTGGGGCTGGTTTATTTCCTTAGCATGCCATCACAGAAAAAGCCAGTATATATTTACAAAAATATTTTCATGAGAGCAGGGTCTCTGTTCTTTTAATTACAGGACCGCCAGTACACAGCATCACTCAGCTTGTCCACTCTTTTCTCCCCAGTTTAGTCCTTCACGGTGGCCATGGTGAGGAGGGAGTTACACCAGGCGGCACATGAATAGTGCTTCCTGAGTCAATGGACAGACTTTTCCATTAGTTTCTCATCATTGTAAATTCTTTGATTTGCAAGTCTCAAAGAAATAAGAGTAGACAGTGTAGGAATTTGTTATTGCTGAAAACTTACGATAGGAGCCATTTGAGCTGATTTCCTCACTGATGACCAGGCAGGTAATCTGAGAATACGGCAAAGGATTGTTTCGATTATAGGGACTAATAATCATCCCAATGAACTTTGCACCTCTTCTTGAGAAGTAACTCTACAACAACAAGAAAAATTTTATTAGTGTCAACTACGTAAGTTTAAGTCAGTATTTATCCACATCAATATTCTAAATATCTAATGGGGGAAAGGGAACAAAAAAGTACATTAAGAACTTCACATCCAAATAGCTACTAAATGATATGCTCTAGGTATTAATTTTACACTGTAAAAATTTTAAGCCAAAATGTGTCCAACCCAATCTGAAATGACCCATATCCACTGGCATCCAGGTGTGATGACGCATGCCTGTAATCCCAGCACTTAGAAGGCTGAGACAGGAGAATTTCAAGTTCCAGTCTCACCGGGGCAACTCAGAGAAACCCTGTCTCAGAACAAAAAAATAACAAAGACCTGGCTCTGGGTTTAATCCCTGGTACCACAAACAAATATCATGTGGCCTACAAAATCCACATTTGCCATAGATGTATTTACTAATTCTACTAACTACTTTTCAGCTGTATTCCTAATGCATTAATTTCCAAGTAGCTCCCTACAATAAAAACACACACCAAACATAAAATTATAGAATAAAACAAAAACTATTTTTCAGAGGAGCAAAATATACTAATGTTTCCAATTATTTCAATTATATTCAATTTCTATCCTAGCTGTTACTATTAATTTTTTTTTGTTTTGTTTTGGTACCAGGGATCGAACTCGGGTCCTTACTATTAATTTTTAAAGGCTCTATGAACACTTACTAGGGTTACTTTCATGGCTTTTCTACACTAAACAAAATTGCTGATTTCCCACGTGCCTATATAAAACAAGATATGCAGGGTGGAGAGGGGACGGGAAATAAGTGAAAAGAATAATGACGTGGTATGTACATGTACCACACCCCATGAGGAATGTAATCATATGTATTGCAAGCATGTACTAATAAAAATTCTAAAAATTAAAAAGAAAAACTGTACTTAAAAAGCCCAGATATAAAGAATATTAGAAATGCAGAGCTAAAACCATTAAAAGTTTATTTATTAACAGAAACAAGTGTATGTATCTGTAATCATTTAGAAAATACACACACATAATACCCATGCACCCATAACCATACCTGGTATTTGGCCTGTGTGTCAATATCTCGTAAGGAAGGATTAGGATCAAATGCAGGATGAGAATGATACCATCCAATCACACTGTATCCTCTAACAGCCAAGGTTTCTGAGGCCTGTGTTTGTGATACAGGATCCATCTCACACTGCAGTCCTGTACTGAGACTGTTACATGGCTCTGCTGCACAGACCTATAAAGATTGATCTTCATGTGATTATACTGAAATGTTGCTCATTCTTCCAAATGTACGTATGTCCAAGTGTGGTTGTATGCTAAGTATTCAGCATGCATTTTGTTACTCAAATGAGGTTACCATAATGGTTATTTTTCTAGTTACCACACATAAAACTTATACAAAGGTATTTTTTCAGTGATGCCTATTGTTTACGATGATGAGATGATGCACACCAACTTTCAGCTACAGTTATTAGCACATATTTTTGGCCTCTTAGGAGTTGCAGCTTTTTATTGGTGCGAAGTCAAGGCCTGGCAGTACTATCTTTTTTCTGATGGGAAAACAGATGCTTAATATATGGAATGTTGAGTCACTTCTTGGAATACGCAACTATCTACATTTGCATATTCTCATATTTATCTCAGGTAACACCTGAATTTTTATTATATTCACTGAATTCTACAAAATAGTTGAGATGGGAGAAGGACTAACTGGTAGTTAAAAGATTTTGAAAAGAGAGAACTTACTTCCACTATCTTACCAACTTCTGAGTATCTTCCTCCTAACAGACCAATTACTTCTGCCATAGAAACATGAGCATGCTAAAAGAAATACAAGACAGACTTAGCCCAAATGCACAAACCCATCTGGCAGAAAATCAGAATGAAACTTGCCATCCTAGGAGTCACTTCTGAATATGATTAACTACATTTTTCTAAAATAAAGTAGCACAGGAGGGAAACAAACTGCTAGCTTATTGCATAGACTCAGATTCCAGGTCTACCCTCATTGCTAGCTGGGAAGTGTGAACGAAATGCTCCAGATGCCACTTTTTCACTTACAAAACAAGAAAACTATCTGATCTCTTTATTCAAGAAAAATATAATAAGGATGCAGAGTAAAAATCCTTCTGGGTCATTTTATAAAAAAGCACTATAAACACAACTGTTAGAGGTATTGATAAGTTTAGTGCAAACAAGGAACCTCGAAATTATAGAAGTTGTGCTTTGTTTCAATAATCTAAAAGGCAGCAGACGTGAGATATTAGAAAATGAAAATAGGGTTAATGACAGCAAACAGTCTGCAAAACTCACATTAATTTATTTCTCTAAAATATGAAAATATGCAACTGTCTGGCTTTTCTTCAAAAGAAAAGACTTATTTTTAGATTCCTTGTAAAAGAAGATAGTTAAGATCCAAAATACACGTCTTCCATACTTTCTCTTAGGCCTGCAATAAAAATACACAAGAATAAAAATCAGATAACTAAACACAATAGATTATCCTTACCAAATCCATTATTAAAAGTGCTTCTGAAGCCACTTTCACCTGAAATGGCTCCTGAAATAAAAGAAAAAAAAATGGGGAGCATAAAAATAGAGATTCTGTTCTCCCCAGTGGAATGCCCACCCTCTTCTCCTTTTCCTATCCAACCAAATTCCCTCTACCGACCAAGGCTTGGCATAAACTAGCCTTTTTTTTGGTGCCAGGGATCGAACTTGGGTCCTTGTGCTCCTGCAGCAGGCGGTGAAACCACTGAGCTAAATCCCCGCCCCACCTTTTTTTTTTTAATTATCCTTCAAAACCCCAGCAGGAAGAAATTCCCTCTCATTTTGCATCTGGGTTACTCATTTGACCCTAAATACACCTTGCTTTGTCCAATCCTTTCATTTACATACAGGCCTTGCACACACTGAAAAAGAATAAATTTTTCCTGCCTGATGGGCATTATTTATGGGCATCCATACACAAACAGTACCTGTTTTTCTCCACTGAAAGTACTACAAGTTATCAGTTGGAAGGGATCAAATGAGCTGAAAATGAAAAAAATATATACTTTTAGTATAGGTCAGGAAAAAACATTTACAAAATGAAAATGTGTATCAATAATCTAAACCCAAATTATGTCTGAATGACAAAAATACTGAACTAGGAGAGATTCTTAGGCTGTTCCATATAACCCATTTGAAGGACGAATGGATCTGAGAAAAAGAGGGACTCTGGGAGAAAATAATTGTCATGTTAATTTCCTGTAACACTTGAAGCACACAAAATAAAGACGTGTTCTACACCAAAAGATTTTAAAATATTCAATGAAATGTAACTGAATCTGTGACAAGGGACCTGAAAGAAGTCCACTGTGGAGTTCCTCAAAGTCACATCTGTCAGCAGAATGTGCCCACTGCAGAGAGGTTAGTCAATAAATATTGTTTGAATAAATTAATAATAATTCTGCTGAAGAAATTAAAATACATAGGAAGTCCAATGACAAGCTCTTATTTTAAATGCAGAAAGAGGGAGCCTGAGCAAAGCTAGATACAAAAGCATGTACCAAGAATACTGGAAAGGTTTTGACAGATATTTGAGAAAAATATTAAGAATACAAGGTTTTTTAAAGTTATGTTCAGAGAAAGAAAAACATGAAAATATTCTTGCTAACACAACTGGAGAAAAGTCGGACTATTCAACTTCCATGCTCCCGAGGAGGACAAGGCAGTGCCAAGAAGACACTGTCTTGTTTTGTACTGTATGTATCCCAAGGGCCTGGAGCAGTGTCCAAACATAGCAGGTGCTCAAAAAATAAGGCTGAAGGAAGAAAGGCTTTTAAGTCAACTCAATCAAAAGGAATGAAAGGCTGAGGTAGATGAGAGAAATACAGAACAGAATAAGCACCTTTCAGGGCACTTACTTAAATAACTATGGTTGTGAAGTACTGTCATTATTTCTTGAGGGCTGCACAGAATGGGAAAGTGATTAGAGGACTAACGACAGGCAACTACTGGGCTAAAACTTAGGAGATTTCAGAGGAATTAGATATGGAATACTGGCAAATTTGTAGACCATTACACAGCTGATTGGTGAGCCTTTACCAAGTGAAGAGGTAACTAAGAACATTAATGAGTTCATGCAACATAAGTATAAATAAATCTTATCACACATTTTTGATAGGAATGATCTGCTACAAGTTAGCAGGCTGCATAATCAAATATTTTATCTGAATTTAAGCAAGACGTCTGCTATGATTATACTTCTGTATAAGATGAAAAATTTAGGTTAAATGTAGGAATATATATATAGCAGACTGAATAATGTCTGAGGTTTACATTTATTCCACTTGAACATTTTACTTGGTGACTGGTAGCAAAAAAAGGCAAGCTTATTGAAATGTTGAGATGCAATGGCAGAAGGCTAAAGAGAAAAAGTAGACCTGGATTTAAAATGTTGCTAATAGTTTGGGACAATGAGCTGAAATTCACAATGAATGTGCATCTTACACAGATTCAGTAAATCAAATGTCTAGATACTAGATGAGTTCTGGCTCACAGAGGAATATTATTTTTATAGTCTATTTTCACAATGACAGTGTAAGTTTCATTTTTATTTGACAGAGGCCATATATAATGTAATGAATGGATTTATATTATAAGGAATATGGATTCCTAATCCTAACTGCCTGGGCTTACTTAAATCATAGCTCCACCACTGAATTGCATCAGAAAGTTACTAAACCTTTTTTGTCTCTTAATTTTCATCTGTAAAACGGGAGTGATAGTATTAACTACTGCACTGAGTTCTTTTTTGTTATTGATTTTTTTTTCTGGTACCGAGAATCAAACCGAGAAACTTACACTAGGCTAGGCAGGCACAGTGCCACTGAGCTACGTCCCTGGCCCTGCACTGAGTTCTTACAAAGATCAAATGAGCTGATATATGGGAAGGGCTTAAAACACAGCCAACAGTGTTGGCCATCTGAGCTATTACTTTATAATAAAGACCCAAGTCTTGGCTAAGAACACACAACTGGTAAAATGGATATCTTGTTTTAAAATGGACACTGACAGAACTACAGCACCTGCAAGAAGTGAGGTCTAGAAAATCAAGGCATCTTGCTTATTTGAAGAGCTTTACTTTTTAAAATTACAAATATCAGTGTACACAGATATATACATTTATACACACACACACACACACACACACACACACCCCTATATCCATATCCCCAAACAACTTGCAAACAATCAGCCTGAGGAGAAAACCAGGTTATTTCACAAGGTTACCTGTCCAGAGTGCCTAGACCAGTAGATATAAACAAAGCCTTGTGAAATACATGTTGGACCCATGCTCACTGAACCTGAACTCTAAAACTTTAGCTTAGTTTCATTCAAAACTGACATCAGTTAAAACTAAAAATTTCCAAAACCTAACCAATTATTTTTCACTTTGCTAGATTAAAAAACGTTTTACCTGATACATCTTCTGCCAACAGTGTAGTGCTACTATTGGATATTTTTCTGTACATTTTCACATCATGTATGATAAGTTTTTAAAAATTATATTTATGTAACATGACACTGTACCTTTTTGCTAATCTTGACACTTTAGAAGATTTGGCAGGTTTGCTGTTTTCCTCTTCTCTTCTTTTTGCCAACTCCTCGGCAGAGAGATGCTAAAACAAAACAGCAGCTGATCAGAGTCCATCTACTACTGAGAGGCAAATTGCTTTTTTTTTGGTACTGGTGATTGAACTCAGGACCCTGCACTTGCGAGGCAGGCGGTGGAACCACTGAGCTAAATCCCTGGCCCCTGGCAAATCGTTTTTTAAAATCAGATTTAAGGGTATATAAGAACAAGACACACTAAACTGGTATGATGAAAGACTAACACATATTAACACATACAAATGCTGGATACCATGTTTTGTTTTGTTTTGTTTGGGTACCTGTGCCTGCGAGGCAGGCGGCAGAACCACTGAGCTAAATCCCCGGCCCAGGGTACTATTTTATTTTATTAATATTACTATTATTATTATTTTTTTTTTGGTACCGGGGATTGAACTCGGGTTCTTGTGCCGGCGAAACCACTGAGCTAAATCCCTGGCCTCAGGGTACCATTTAAAAAAATGGTTTAAAAACACACAGCCATATGGAACTGAAGATTTACTCCTCCTGACCTGCCCATTTCAGTTAGCGGTATCAAAGCCACCGATCACCGGAGTCTTTTGTTTCTATTTCTAGCTACCAATTTGTACTGTGCTGAATTTTAACAACAGAGACAGGACAGTCTAGTGATTACGAACACTACCTAAGCCTGAGGGCTGAAGGTTCAGCTCAGTGACTCAGTGGTCAGAGGCCTGCCCAGCATGTGAAGCCCTGGGTTCAGTCTGGGGATGAGAGTGGGGAGCCCACAGCACCACACAGATTTTGGAGCTAGAAGAATCCGCTCTACTCTTTACTAGCTGGATAACCACAAGCAAGTTTTGAAACTTTCACGCTTTAGTTTCCTCATCTTTAAAAACGGGAACAATAATACTATTACTGACATCACGGTGTTAGGGTGAAGTTAAATGAGGTGGTTTATATTCCATTTCATATCTACTACTAACTTGACATTCGAATTGAAATCACCTGTCCACTCTCTCAGCATAGAATGCTTTTGCCTACTATTTTTTTGTTTTTTTGCAGTATCGGGGATTAAACCCAGACCTTCACACTGAGCTACATCTCCAGCTCATTTTTATTTTTTATTTTGAGACACAGTCTAAGTCACTGAACTGCCCAGACTAGGGTTGAGTTTATGATCCTCCTGCCTCAGACTGCAAGAGTACTGGGATTACAGGCATGTGCCACCATAACTAGCTGCTTCTATTTTTTGAGACAATTCTTCTACTGATCCTCTAGATCAAACACCACATCTTCCGTGAAATCTTTCCTTATCAAACCCTTCAGGAGGATCCTATAACTCTTGGACCAACCTTGTGGAACTTACCAGGCTTTGTCATTCCTACTAGAAATATAAGTTCCTTATGGGAAGGAACAATTTATTACTTATAATTATCCCTAGAATAGCTGGGTGTGGTAGCACATGATTGTAATCACTGCACTCGGGAGGCTGAGGCAGGAGGATCCCTGAGTTTGAGGCCAGCCTGGGGTACACAGTGAGTTCAGGGCCAGGCTGAATTAGAGAGTGAGGCTCCATCTCAAAAAACAAAAAACAGAAAAAAACATTATGCTTAGAAGAGTGCTTAGGTATGAGACTAGGGACCAGGAGCAGGGGAGGGAAGAAAGGAAGCTAACATTCTAACATTTACTGAGTAGTTTGTGTGTGCAGGTTTTGTTGAGTATCTAATACTAAGACTTTTATACACTTTGCTTATTTCTTACAAAATCCTTTCAGGGAAGATTAGCCATACTTCATAAATTAAAAAAAAAAAAAAAAGAGAGAGATTCATTGAAGTTAAGCAGTTACTCTCAGTAATACATATCCACTTATTCACTCCTTTTCAGGGTACTGGTTGGTTACAACAAATTATATATTTAGAACATGTATGTGCATGCATGTATACAAATATACAATAACATTCATTGCCTACGTTCTTTTTAGAACCCTAGTTTTTATTAGAAATAACACTCCAATATTTGTAATTCAATATGCCTAATGTTAAAACAACATTTTAATTGTCATCTCAGAACACCATTCAGTAAATGTTTAACGAAATAAATTGGGCATAGTTCTTGGCACTCTGGCATATATTCTTAATTAGAGATGAGAATATAAAACTAGAGAATCAAAGTCCTAAAAATGTGTGAAACTCTTAGCCTTCCACTATGCTCTTTATTGGCAACTTCTAGACAGACAAATTAATTTGGGAATGAAGGTATGTATTGGAAAATGCATGAAGCAAGTGTAAAACAGATAACATTAAAACACAAATGTACACTGACAAAAACAGTTTTCATGGAGGAGCCGCGTCAAAGGCCAGTTACCTCAAAAGTCTGTCCTTCTAAATCCTTTGCATCACACCAGTTTCCCCATGGGTCTCGGACTCTCCGCCTCCTAGTGCGCTGTAATGAGAATAAAAGCAACAGGTGGAGAAATCACAGTCTATTAATATCCAAGACATAAACCACAATTATCTAAAAAGTATGAATATGTGTAAGCATTGTGATCTGATTGTCAGCCACTCACTAAGCTTTGTTAATTCAGGTCTGACAGACAGCACTCTGCTCAGCAGTGCATCACTTCCTGGGCAGCTCAAGGTGAGAACACAGACATAGGTGAGCAGGTGTAGGCTGCTGGAGGCAGAAGTGCTGCTGACTTTCTGCCATTTTACTCGTGTTTCTTCAACTTTCACTTGTAGTCACCATATAGGAGCTAAGACACTCAAGACAAAAATATTTTTAAGAAGTATTTTAACCACCAAGAAAATGGCTTTTCTTTTAACCACACGTGGTAGAAGATATTATAAACTAGAAGCAAAATAATTGTATCTTAGCTTTAGAGAAGTTTATTAATTTAATACAAACACTGAAAAATTACAAAATTTGTTGAATATAGTATTAATATCCAGTTCTGAAAACTTCAACATTGAGGCCTTTAAAATGGACCAGGCTGCTAAAGGGCAGTGCATGGCCTTGTACCACATGCAGCTACTCTCTGAAAACATGCTTTCTTAACACAGTAAATCTAGGCAGAAGTCAGTCACCTCATCTTCGATAAAGGAGTCAAACACCCTCACTGGAGGAAAGATGGCCTCTTTAATAAAAAATGGTGCTGGAAAAATTGGGTTTCAACTTGTCAAAGATTAGAACTACACCTATATCGATTCCCAGCACAGAGAAGGACGCTTCCAGGCCAAGTAGCACCCCAGTGCAGAGAAGGAGGCTTCCGAGCTGCCTCAGCACTGCTCCCAGCACAGAGGTCATGAGCTGCACGGGTGCCAGCACCAGTACCCCACTCCCATCCCATCGAAATGAGAAGACACATAAAAAAGCTTCAAAACCAGACTTCCAGATCACCTACAGCAACCCCAAAGGGAAACAAGATGGAACACTCTGATACTCAACCACCAGGACTCCCTGAACTGGCAACAAAAGAGGATCTGGAAAAAATGAAATCACAAATAATTTCTCAGATAAGAGCAGACATCGTACCCATAGTGCAAGACATGATTAATAAATCTAGAGAGGACACAGATAAAAAAATAGAGGAGCTGAGGAACATGATGGAATCCCAACATGGGAA